TACAGAATAACTTTTTGCTTATTCCCATGACACCCATAGAGCACACTATGAACGAGAAAAATTGAATTATTTGACATGTCTATATTTTTGGACTATAGTTTATGGTTTATTCACCCAAAACCAACGGAATGAAATTATAAAAACCTTTTAATAGTTCATAACCCCTTCGACAAATACGATTATTCGAACCGAAACTTTATAAAACATGAGTAATGCCCGATTACATATGTACGTAAAGTAAAAGACGTTACTTTTATAATATATTCATTTTGTTAAAGTAATAATTATTGTAAGATATAATATTTTGATAACAGTCAAGTTTTTATATTGAAAGTTGATTATATTTGTCTATTTAAAAATTTTTTTTTGGATTAATGCACAAGTACAACAATAACTTTGACGACACATTTGGCTTAGTTTGTACTTTGTAATGACACTTGCTGTGCCAACGGTCGCAGGTTCGAGTCCAAGTGGGGACATTCATTAGTGTGATGAGCACGATTGTTTGTACTCCAGTCATGGGTGTTTAAATTTATAATACGTATGTATTTAACGTTATATATGTATAGTGTATCAACTATCTGGTATCCATAACACAAGCCTCGTAGCGTACCATGGAACTAGGTGGTGCTTGTGTGTTAATGTCCCAACATATTTTATATATAATAACTTTTAGATGTTTGTTTCACATCATATAAATACGTTTGAATATTTTTTAATACATAATATTTAACTTTGAATCAGAATATTTAAGATATTCTTTTCACTTTCTACTTAATACTTTTCATTGTAATTCCTCCGATTTCTAAACCAAAACTGCTTAATTAGAATTTTAAACATTATTTCAACAATGACTTAGATGTTATTTATACTCTTACAAATTAAGTATTGCAAGCCAATGTACCGAGAAACATTCAGTCTAATAAACTACTAAAGTTTGTTGCATCTCCTTTCTCATTTATTCGCACTTCGAGTTTCTAGCGATGGCTTATAAATGAAAGTAAACTTAAATTGCAAGTACCATTGTTCGAACAAAAGTAAATTGACTCATTTCAAATGAGTAAAATCAGAGGAAAAGTTGGGTAGAGTTTTGGTTTAATACAAGTAATGCCGCATCTTCATAATTAAATAAATTATTACATTTTTCTTGTACTTGGTAGTTTTAAGAAGACCTATTAAGTACGAGTATATTATCGATTCCAGCTGAAAAACTCCACTGCTCGATTATATCCCTCCCGCAAAGATTTTCACGAGAGCTGGTCTCATGCCATCCAAACTTTGAGATCGACCTTTGCGAGCTCTTCGTCCCCATCTGGTCGATGTCTGTTCTGGGAACGATTTGCTCCGTCCACTGTCACATTAGCTTAACGATTCAGCGGGTTATATCGGTGACCAAGTTCACCAAGCTCCTTCGCTTATCATCATTTGATCTTCTTCGATCTCCTTCTTTGATGAGATAGTGCATAAAATACAAATACCTGGCAACTCAACACCTATTATAATTATCGCTAATATATTATATCGCCTAGACTACACTGGCCCATAAACCTGTATAAAAAATCTCAAATCCACACTTATTTCACGATCCATAAGAGAAGATCAAACCTTCAAATCAACTAATTAATTTTCGCATTCATTTATAGTCATACGCTTAACTGCAATAGGCAATATTAAATGCAGAACACGATACAAGATTCATTTCGATAGTCTCGTTTTGCCTATACGAGTAGGGTACACTATCGAATTTCTATTGACATTGAGATAGAAATAAAATATATAGTTTCTGTAAATTCTTTTGATCTTAGCCAAAAATTCATTTCTTCGTGCAAGATGAATTGAAATTGAGTTGTAAAAGTAATCAAATTAGCAGACTGACGATCAAATCAGCTCCACCCAATATGACCATTCCCTAAAATAAATCCTACTAATATTATAAACGCGAAAGTTTGTAAGATTTGTAAGAATGTGTGTATGAATATATGTTTGTTACTCTTTCGCGCCAGAATAGCTCGACGAATCTAAATGAAATTTGGCACAGAGATAGATTATAGTTTACTAGCGGACCCGACAGACGTTGTCCTGTCTACACGTCTTTAATTTGAAAATTTCAAACTTTTTTTAATAATTTTTTTGATGAAAATTATTATTCAAATTGTGAATCTTAACCATTCCCAGATCCCCTTGAACACACACAAAAAATTTCATCAAAATCTGTCCAGTCGTTTGAGAGAAGTTCAGTGACATACACACTCACAGAAGAATTATATATATAAAGATAATAGTACATAGGTAAGTCTTTTTATCCCGGATAAATAAACGGTTCCCGTGGGATAGATTCATTTTTGTTTTTCTAGAGGCAAGTAAAGCGAAGGTGAGCGGCTAGTAAAACATAATTAGCGTCGACTCTAATCACTGCTTCATCCATATTTCCATAGTATCGGCTATATAAATAATAGATAGGCAAGGACAAAACAACAACAACAACAAACTTTTTCCTCTTTGTTTGTCAACCGATTTTCTTTTTTTTTCTTTAGTAGCTGTTGACGAGCTTTAGTTATCTATATATATTTTTTGGAAACAGTTACTTTTTCATACATTATTTTCATATATTATGGTAAATTCTATTCATCAATACTAATATTATAAAAAGGTAAAGTTTGTGAGTTTATGACGTTGTAGGGGGTAATCTCTGGATCTACTGAACCGATTTAGATGAAATTTGGTAAGAAGTTAGTTTGAGACCCTGGGAAGGACATAGGATACTTTTTATTCCGGAACTCATCCCTTAATAGGGTGAAATTGGGTATGAAAGTTTCTATGATGAATCAAGCAATCTAAAGCGAAGCGAAGCGAGGGTGAGTCGCTATTTTACTGGGCGAACAAGTCATTGTTACCTATTATCAACCTTTTATCTCTGCTTCAATTACTATACGAGACGAGTCACAGACAAAAAATAGTTAGGTATAAAAAACAAAAATAAATTTAATGAAAAAAATTAATATAAAAATAAAAAAAGAACGTTACGTAATACTATATTCCTTCGTCAACTTGTTTTTATCTTTTTAGTTAGCTTTTATGCAGTCGGGTCTTTTATTTCTATAATATGTATTTTTTATTTACTGCTTTATAGTTTTTGCCAATTAGGCATTTAAAGTTATATTTAGCATTTTTTATCCTAAATTACTTTTAAACATATAAGTTGTGTATATCTTTATGAGCGCCTCTTAAAAACCTTTATTTTGATACCCCACTCGATTGGTTTGGAAGATTAGAGAATACAGTCGAATTGAGAACCTCCTCCTTTTTGAAGTCGGTTGAAAACTATACATTTTTTTATAGTAATTTCTTTTATAACAAATCCAAAAAAAAAGTTATGTAGTTATTTTAGGTCAGTGAAATATTCGTTTACTATTTTTTTCTCATTATCAACCTGAAATGAAACATTTGAGTATCTCACCTATTGTACGAGTACAATTTTACGTACCTTTAATATTTACTATACAAAGGCATCTTCCATCTCAGGTTGTATGCTATAAAATAAATTCGAAATCCATTTCCCTCTCCTCAAGTGCACTTTGTATCATTTTCATGACAGCAGCAGCAGCCGGATATTGCGCTCAAATTGTTGTAAATAAGATTGTTGGATAAAAGCATGGTATCGGTCAGTGACGATAAATATGACATAATAAAAACACAAAAAAAATATTAAAAAAAAATCCTTTTTTTTATTTTGTAATTCACATGCACGTCCATTTTTTTACCAATTTCATTGTGACTGAAATTAATTCAGCTTACGGCGTTATATTCTGTTGACAGTAGTAATATAAATCCTATTAATATTATAAGCGTGATAGTTTGTGTCGATAGAAATATGTCTCTCTAATGTTAGTTCAACTCTTTCAAGTAAAAACTACTAAACGGATTTTGTTGCAACTTTACAATATATAACCATCAAAGTAACAGCTTGAAGCTATATAAGTATAGATATAAATAGAAGCTGCAGAAAAGGTATATTTTTAAAATTACAAATCTTTTCTACGAAATCAACATTTTTGCAACAAATACTTTCAACTTAACTGAAAAATTGTCGCATAGTAGGAACATACGATATAATCTCTAAAAGGAATAACTAAGCTAGCAACAAAAATAATATTCGACTCAATTTTCAATTTAATATAATACGTATTCGAGGCGCCACTAAGTCTGCCTTCTATTCCAGTACAGTCCAGTCGAATCTTCACAATCCAACTATTTTCCATTCATATTACGTGCTATCAGTTTGTTACAGTGAACCAAATGTTTTATCATAGTAGAAAAGCTGCATGCTTCAATCCATTTTAAAATTCTCTTATTTTCAAAGTTGCTTAAATTAAAGTATCTAACATTTTTAGCCTTTGATTTTTTTTTCATATATGAAATAAATGACATATAATCACTTTTAATTTAGAAAATGACCAATATTGTGCACTTGCTTTTGCAACTACTGACCAAAAGGAAAACGTAATATATGTACTACAAGTATAACTGTAGCATCGTAAGTTTATATTATTATTTTTGTGCCATTTCAATTAGGATTGTTTATACATAGATACGCTTATATATTTTAACTATCTCGCTCCGCTCGGGTTCTTCCCTAGTTACGTTTTAACTTTAGTATAGATTTCTGAAAGATGAGGTATTTTCCTGAAGTAAAAAGTATCCTATATTTTGACCCGGATAACCAGCTATCATTATATCAAATTCCATCAAAATCTGTCCAACGATTTTCTCATGATGCGTTCCCAAACAGACAGACACAAAAATTCTAAAAACTATAGATTCGACCTCTGTGAATATTTCAATAAGATTTTTCAAAAAAATATTTAATGTTCAGATTCGAGTTAGAATTTTATTATATGTATAGATATATAAATTAGACTATATGTATGTTTCTTCGAAGATATATCTCAATAACGATATATATATTAATATGATTAAGCTTACTTGAGTTGATGTGCAAGATGGACAGTCATCCTGGCGCCGCGCCGGTAGCACCTGCTAGGTGTCTCAAGGCCAGAGCTCCGTCCTGTGTATTCAAATTGTTTTCGTCTAATTTAAGCTCTTTTATCGTGGCTAAAGCGTTAGTAGTAAATATGTTGGGTGGCTTGCTCATCACACAAATGAATGCCCCCGGTGGGACTCGAACCCGCGACCGCTGGCACAGTAAGTAGGGTCACTACAAACTGAGCCAAAATGTGTGGCTGTTTGTATATTTGTTACTCCTTCGTGCTGAAATAGCTGAACAGATTAAGATAAAATTTAGTTAAAAATATTTAACTATGACCTGGAGTAACCTATAGGATAAGGCTCGAGTTTCGGTGCGAGTAACAAACATAAACACATACAAACTATTACATTTTTAATAGTAGGACGATAAAATAGATTTTTTATTTATTGTTATAGCCACGAACGCATATGTGTACGAATGATAAATCGTGGTTGATGAATTTGGTTAGCCGTCCGTTGTGCAGTGAAATATGACCTTTAACATGTTATCTGAGCGGCTCCGCGGTATAACTCACTCTTGATTAAGAGCTATTGATCAGTCTCGATGTATGCTAATTGGACAACCATGTTAAGTTAAATCTTTTTGATTTTTTACCGAATTTTAGATTAGGTTAAGTGGTAAAAATGTTTATTTATTTTACTAGATTTTGTCTGTGCTTACTTTCATCTAATTCAACCCATTTTAAAGTTCCACTATTGGTAAGTATCCATCACTCTCTTTAACCAAATTTGAAGTAATTTTTATGATTTTTTTTTATTAATAGGTTTTATCTAACAGTTATGTTTTATAAAATCATTAAAATAGTTAATTCGGTGGAATGGCTAGTTTGAAAAGGATTGTTTAATTAGTGTAAGTTAAGGTTTTTTTTTCGTTAGAAAGTAGTTATATTTGTAATCAGAACAAATTACTATTATGTAATAATTAATTCGAAATGCAAATTAAAATACTTTTAATCCTGTTAACTTCCGTCTTTGTCCACTATATACAATAATATATCACATCTATATATAAAACAAAGTCGGGTTTGTTACAACACTTATAACTCAAGAACTGTTGGACCGATTTTTTTTATTTGTTGGATTTGTCTCCGCCCCGAATAGCAGAATAACTATAAAAACATCAGAAAAATCTATTTAAAACGTACCTACATATATACCTTAATCATAAACTAAAGTTACGTTTGAAATAGTTTAAACTTTCATTAATATAAGTAAATAAAATCTAAATCCTACTTCGCGTCATGAAACTAATAGAATCGCAGAGAACAAGTTTTAATTAAAGTGAGTAAAAGGTCGCGAAAAAGCTACTTATGTTTCTGCGTGAAGTTTTCTAATTTACAAATCTATCTCTTACCATTACAATAGAAAAGTAGTTTCTACAGCAGGGTTCGGACCTCTGCTCTGTTCGATTTTAAGCCGGTTTTTTTATTGACCCCAAGCCGAAAGGCCTTTCGGTTTAAATTTTCGGTTATTTTCTTTAACCGGTTAAACCCCGAATAACGATTAATGACAAATTTAGTTTCCATGATCGAAATTAACCGGTTAAAATAAGTTTTTCTGCGTTCTTATTTAGCAAATCATGTTAATGGTGAATTACTTAGTAGGAGAATACATACATACGTTTCTTACTTATGAACGAATTATCCGGATTATTTCGGTATCAAAACCTAATTCTAACCATTCTCTAAGAATAACCTTTAACTATTATTATTTTATTTTACTAAATCTTTTTTATTAACCGGTTAATGAACGAGAGATGAATTAACCAGTACATTACCGAAATTAACTGTTTTTTTTTAAAACCGATTCCGAGCCTTGTTCTACAGTTATCATTAAAGTTCAAAATATATTTCTTTATTACTTTAGTTTAGAATTTATTTTTATGGTAATAATTAATTTTGAAATTTAATAGTAGATATAGGCAAAAGAAGGCAGTGGTAGCTCAGTGGTAACGCGCTCGCTTGGGAAACCGAGAGAAGCGAGTTCAAATCCCGGGTCTCGCACCTCTGATATTTTCATGTGCGAATCATTTCCAACATGATTACCACTTGTCTTAACTGTGAAGGAAAACATCGTGAGGAAACCTGCATGTCTGAGAGAACCTAGCAAGTTTTCAAAAGACATGTGAAGTCCGCCAATCCGCACTTGGCCAGCGTGGTGGACTATGGCCTGATTCCCCTCGTACTGAAGGGAGGCCCGTGCCCAGCAGTGGGACGTTAAAAAGGGCTGAATACATACATACATAGGCAAAAGTCTGTTTACTTGTTTTATGCCGAATTAGCCAGGAACTAAGGAGGCTGTCATAAACATAATATGACAAATATCGTCAAAGTTAAACTAGTTGACCACTTTATGTCAACTTTAATCATAATTTTACTTCATTGTATTTATAAAATAAGGATAACAAATATACCAACCGACGAACCAACACTCGAGAAAACAAATTAGCAAAGTTTGTTGCTTCTCCTTCCTCCTGAATAAATTCCGCATTTATTCTCGCTTCGAATCCTCTTCTTATAAATGAATACTGCTTAAATAACGACGACCATTGTTTAATTTCATAACGACCGGAAATAATTAATGTCAAATGGAAATATTTTATTTTTTATTGCTTACCCTTTTTTTGCTTAGAATTAGATTAAGACATAGTCTATTTGTGTACCACATCCAAATCGGTCCATCCGTTTCAGCCTAAAGGAGTAACAAACACACAAACATTCAAACTTTCTCAATTATTGCAGTCTGATTAATTCTATTGCTAATTAAGAAATTAAAGCCACTTGCACCAAAATTCTTAATATTATACATTAAACAGTGCATTTTCTCTTAAACTAAACATATTTAAGGCATATCGTATTAGAAATAAACAAGTTATAGTAATGTAAGAGCATGTATTATTTCAACCTGTTTGAACAAAACCATTTTACTGTAGAACCACCCTCTTTCCTATACATTTTAATTCCAATTTCATCCATACTCTTTAGTCAAAGTAAAATTAACTCTATTAGTTTTCTACTCCACCATAAAAGCTTAGCTTTAAAATTAAATACATACTTGTCCTTTTTACGCTTAAATCAATATACATAGAAAAGGATTATATGACAGCCTAAGAATTAAATGACGCTGATGTACCTACAATATTATATGTACACTAGCATTGCCCGCGGCTCCGCCCGCGTTCAGGTGTCCAAAAACCAAATTCTTAGGTTTTACATATTAGTATACTCTTACATTACAGTTTTTGTATTTTTTCTCAGAAATGAGATATTTTCCCGCGATAAAAAGTATCCTATATGTTGACCCGGATAAGCAGCTATCACCATACTAAATTTCATCAAAATCTCTCCAGTGGTTTCTCTATGATGCGGTAACAGATAGACAGACAGACAGACAGGAATACAAAAATTCAAAAAACTATAGATTCGCCCTCTGTATCGATAATAATGTTTATTTCAATAAGATTTTCCAAAAAATATTTAATGTACAGATTCGGCTTAGTTACAATTTTATTATATGTACCTATACATGAACGAATTAACCACTCGTCCATGTACCTATAGATAAAACACCTCACGTCCTATACGTTAATACGAATATTTCTAACCAACAGATATTCAATTATCTAAAATCGAGACCATACATTTTAATGCGAAGATTGTACTTAAATGAAGTTCTAAATAACTGTAGTTAAACGAAATAAAACTTTTGTTCTCGACAAAGGGAAGGCCTTTTGCAAATTAATTGGTCAATAACAAAACATAATAAGAGATTTTCGCGATGAAGGCGATATAATTACGACTCATTTAAATTAATTCAAACGGATTTCAGAATAAGATGGCAAAATACAGCCAGTTCTATATCTGTGGCTGTTCTGTAAATTATTTGACAAGTTAATAGTCTGTCTGTCTGTCAAGAACGTTTTCTGTGTAAGAAATAGAGACATTTGGTTGAAATTAATATCAAATAATATCGTCTACGGTCACTTGAAAGTGTCTTTTTGCGTTCATTAAAGTCACACACTATTTTCGCTCGCCTATAGTTACTACACAAAGTTAAGGTTGACTTTCAACCAAACTTAGGTAAAGTGCAGAACTCAATGACGTTACTCTTGGTCGGTCATTCATCTATACATATAATAAAATTGTAACTAAGCCGAATCTGTACATTAAATATTTTTCGGAAGGTCTTGTTGAAATAGACATTATTATCGATACAGAGGCCGCATCTATAGTTTTTAGAATTTTTGTCTGACTGTCTGTCTGTTACCGCATCACAAAAACCACTGGATGGATTTTGATGAAATTTGGTATGATGATATCTGGTTCTGGGTCAACATATAGGATAATTTTTACAGCGGGAAAATATCTCATCTCTGAAAAAACTATACTAAAACTTAATACGTAATTCTAGAGACGAACCCGAGCGGAGCGAGGATGAGTCGCTAGTTTTACTATATTTCTCGAATTTCTATAAGATTTGCATTGTTTATAGAATATGCAAATTTTCAAATATGAAACACTTGAGTACTCGATACTCGCAAATATGGATCTTATTTATGGAAAATGTGGCTTTCTAAGAAAGTTTACGCTTTTCTTCGAAATATTCAAATTGATATAAATAAAGTTTGTCGATATCTATAACAGCTGAAAGGAATCAATAGGTGTATTAGAAATTGTAATGCAGCAACAAGTTTTTATTTCACTGACTTTTTAAAGTTATATATACAAAGGAAAATTTAAAATCTTCATCCATTATGTACTACTTTTTACTCGCCAGCTTCGCTCGTGTAATAAGCGGGACGGGATTCTACGATAGCTTTTGTCTGATTTTAAAATCCAATCTCCTTGCAAAATTTTATCAAAATCTGTTCAGAGGCTTAAAGGTGAAAAGGTATATGACAGAGTTACTTTGACATTTAGAATTTAAAGTATGGATATAATATTGAATAAAATATTGAATAAATATAAGAATAAAAATATTGAATTTATAAAAATAAGCATTAATATATACAATCTGTCGGTATGTCTGTCCAACTCTATAATAGGAATACATAATTCCGTCTTTAGTATAGTAATACGTTATTTTGATCTGTTTTAGAATATCCCCTCTTGGGTTACGACAGCACGTCTTCTATTGTACAGATAATACTACTTTAAAAATA